GTTGTACAACCGCTGGATTGAGTGGTAACGAGCTGATGCCCGGAAGAGATGCCGACACGCAGGTAACCATTGCTCCCGTATCAACCAACCACGTACAATCCACTTTCGCAATGCGACCATGCACATGAAGCGAACGGACCTGCGAATTGTGGGGACCTTTGACCTCTGATCCGGTTACCCCCGGCCCAGCGGTAGTAACCCTCCTCAGTTTAAAGCCTGATCATGCTGAGTGTGCCCAAACTCACGACAACGCCAGCAGACAACGGGGGCCGGTCGCCCCCGGCCGCGACCCAATGGAGCCCGAGTACACTCCACCTGCCGGTGGCCAGAAAAACCACATGTCCAGCATCGCATTTGTCTGCCCCGGAAACCAGTCCGGCCCGACCCGGGCGCCGGCCAGCCCGGCCCTGCCGAACCGCTGCCCTCCCTTGTGCATGCTCCTGTGGGCCGCCCGCCCAGCTGACCATGGGCGGGTCACGTGGCGGTCCCCCGCCCCGCTGAGGCGACCGCTGGCTGACCCGCCCGGCCCCGAATGACGTCTCGCCGCCCCCGGCGATAGCGCAAGCCGGCCGGCCTGCCGGCCCGGCCGCCGCGCGGATCTCGGACACGGCACGAGAGAGCTCGGCTACCTCGTCCCGGAGATGCTCAACCGCTCCCTTCTGTACTGAAGACCCCTCCACAATTTGACTGACTTTAGCCGGCGAGCGATGGACAGCCTCCTCAATTTGTTTTGCATGTATCGGCATCTTATCAACGTCAATGCTGGGATACAACAGACGTAACTGTGCCGCAACCTCCGACGAGATGCCATCCAAGAAACGACTCCTCAAGAGAGCGGCTCCAACAGACGTGTCAGGATCCGAGACAGGAAACGCACCCCGGAACAAAGAGACTAAATCGGAAAGAAACATACCGTATGTCTCGGAGGGCTGCTTACGTCGCTGACTGAGCCGGTCCTGATACCAGCTCTGGGACGGACCGAACTCCCGACGCAGTGCCGACTTCAGGCTCCGAACATCCCTTGTGTCCTCTTCTGACAGCGCATCCATCACCGCAATCCGCGAACCGAGGCCAAGAAGCGCCTTTCCCACTGCTTTCTTCTTATCCCCCACCGCCAGCCGACAGGCATCCAACCGTCGCAAGAAGTCTTCCAACTCTTCGCCATCACCCCACGCCAATTTCTCCCTCGACTCCATTTTGGCGCGCCCCCACTCGCTGCCACCAGTGTGATATTCGCGCGCTCTCACCGGTACCAGTCGACAGGCGTCCCGGTGACCGCCGACCGGGGCGGCAGGTCGGCCGCCGCCCCCGGCGGTCAGCCGCAGAGGCGCGCCCAGGTACGCCCAGGCGCGCGCACCCGTAACTCAACACACCACAATATAACGCACTGCACTTACATCACAACCCAGCAACTCCACTCCACGGTCAAGCGCGACACGGATCAGACCGGTGCATCAGGCTGCTCACGGCGGGCAGCCGGGCTGCTCACGGAAGGTAGCCGGGCTGCTCACGGCAGGTAGCCGGGCTGCTCACGACAGGTAGCCGGGCTGCTCACGGCAGGTAGCCGGGATGCTCACGGCAGGTAGCTGGGCTGCTCACGGCAGGTAGCCGGGCTGCTCACGGCAGGTAGCTGGGCTGCTCACGGCAGGTAGCCGGGCTGCTCACGGCAGGTAGCCGGGCTGCTCACGGCAGGTAGCTGGGCTGCTCACGGCAGGCAGCCGGGCTGCTCACGGCAGGTAGCGGGGCTGCTCACGGCAGGTAGCCGGGCTGCTCAAGGCAGGTAGCCGGGATGCTCATGGCACGTAGCCGCTAGGCGATTAGATAACAGCCCAGATAAGACACTGAATGATGGAAACTGGCGGAATGCCCTTTCGCCTTCAGGCCGCCTTCCCCTCACAAGTTATGGGAGGCTCGCAAACGTTGGTTGCTTCCGCCAGTGCCATGGCCTTAATGCTTATGATGTTGACAACTGAGCTTAGCAAAATGTCAAGGTATAAAATGCAAGCATGCCCAGGGCCCAGTTCTTCATAGACTTATGGCAGCACCTGCACCCATTGAGGTGGCATCACTGGTGTGCGCCAACTAAGCATGCTCTGGTTAACAGTGACAACTTGCTTGTGAACAAATGCACTTAAGTCAGTTCTTCATTGGCTTACCACCCAGGCTCCACCAGCCAGGAAAGCATCATAGATGCATGCTAGTAACAAAGACGCTTGATTCCAAATATGGGCACAAGTAGAATCAGATGATCCAACCTCGCAGAGACATATATCACACCCAGGAATGGCATACTTGGGTACTATTTGAATGAATCATGATTATCAAGTCATGTGGCTAAAGACATCATTATCATTTATACAATCCACATGAGATCAAACCAGACATGGTCAACACTGATGCCCTTCTGGCACTCACCAATGCCAAATCTTTCAGGTTCTCTTCTGGGCAGACTGGGCTCAAATCTCTGTTGACAAACTATCACCATGCCTGAATGGGGCTTCAACAGTAGACTGCCAGGTAGGAGCCACATGCATTGCTGAAGTCTACCACTGTGCTTCTCCTCCATGCCTTTACTTGTTGATGACACCAGCAGCCAGTTTCCCAAAATGGAAAGTTGATGATTTCCCACATGCATTGCTGAAGTCTACCACTGTGCTTCTCGTGCATGCTTTTACTTGTTGATGACACCAGCAGCCAGTTTCCCAAAATGGAAAGTTGATGATTTCCCACACTGCACACTCCCAAACCAAATTAACTAATAACAGGATAACATCAGAACAAAACTTTCCAGGAAAAGAAATGCCAACCAATCTCAAAATGCTGTAATTTTTATTTGAGTGGTGATGATGAAACTTGGGTAAAGTGTGGAAGATAAACTGAGGAAAAACAGTCTGAAGAAATACAAAATACAAAAGTAACAGCAGTTTACTGAGTGTGCAAATATATAGCTTGTACACTATATAGTGAATATTTACTGTGCAAACCTTTACAAGCATTTCAGATGGCATTCAAAATATATCACCATTTGCAAAACCAATGGGTCACATTTTGTAGGCCTATTTTATCACCTAAAGCTACTTGGCTAAACCAGCAAGTCACCCAGACACAAACACTGTCCAGACAGGCCAGGCAGGGGGCAGACAGCACAGCCTCCGAATTGGCCAGTAATTGACCCAACTGTCCCCAACTTTCTGCTTCTGCCACCAACACCTGTGGGATGTGCATATTGACATGTTGCATACAGTGGCATGACCAAAATGAGGAATCAAAACAAAACACTCACCTCAGCGTCGGTGTGCTGACCATCGGACCGGCCAAAGTCACGCATGATAAGTCGCAAACGACGGTTGGCTTGAGACTCCACATTTTTTCCGACAGAATCTCTTTTCAATACCACACGCGCGACTTCATCTTCTTCGTTTGTCTCCGAAGGATCGCCCCCCGATAGCTGCAGCACCATAAGCGGCTTTTTTCGATCCGTCCGTTCATCTGCACCACCATCCTCGCTCATGTCACAACCGGTTCGGGAATGCGTGGCCCCGACACCTCAACCAATAGGTCGCGGGGCCCGATCCCAACCCCTCTAGCGCCGTTCCACTTCTCACTTTGCAAACGCGTGCAATAGTTTAGCCAAGGTGCAGCGATTATCGCGTGGTAAGAAGTCATGGTTAAAATACTGTCAAGTTTCAGCGGCCTTTCGCCATGCTCTTTTGGCCAAATGCCAAGAAACGGGTAAGTTTTTGCGCCACGAAGCTAACGTCTCATGCAGCAATTCTAAGTATGCTTGCGTCTACCACTAGTGATAGCCGCAAGCTCAAGAAAGCTTATAGTGCTGCATAGTGAGAAGCGTTTTAGTACTTCCAGGGTAAGGGATGAAACGGTCTTTTCTGGAGGAGCGACTAAACGGCCGACATAACCTGTTAACATCCGTATGCTTTGGGCCTATGGGACCGCTAGACATACAAATTTTACTGTTTGATACCGCTTGGATGATTACTTTTCTTCGACGGATGTGGCTTTCAACTCCTCGAGGGTGGCCTCCAGGCTCCAGCCCCATAGAGATGGTGAGCTTTGCTCACGTAAGAACCCGTCTGTTGTGTGTGTTGATGGTTGGCTCAGGCATTTTTCCTCATCCACACCAAGGTTATTATTGGAAAGCACACCTGTGTATACTTCATTTGACATATCGAAGAAATCCTACGAGACTTGCAAAGGTCAAGGTCTTCATAGATAAGTGTTGGAATACCTTTTTCCTGTTTTTTTATTGGGCCCGCGGATGTAACCATACTAAAGCTGTGGGTCAATACTTGGCCAGTACTGTTAACGATTTTGTCCTTTCAAGTCACGGTGCTAATATTGTTAGGCTCGTCTTTCAAAAATCAGTGATGTGATGTTTTCCGACAAAGTTCTGACATCAGCAGACAGCAAATATGACGCAAATTAGGCAAACAGCTGGCGAACGCTTCAGGAATGCGAGCACGGTACCCCGCTGTCATGGGCATTGCGCTGCCATACGGCGCCGGGCGTTGTGGGTGGTGGGGCGTTGTGGTTTGGTGTGACGTGAGTGCAGTGCGCCGTATTATTGTGTATTGTTTGTTGGATGGTTAGTTTGGTGCGGAACGCCTGCAGTGAGGGCATGAACAGTTCGACTGCGGTTGACTCGGGAACAGTTCTGCAGCGGGATGTTGTGGTCAAAGTCTGTAAATTTTTATGTGGAGTATTTGTGCTTGATTAATGAAGGAGTTGTATTGCTCTTGTGGCCATGCCCTGGCATTCCGGTTCATGCCTGCAGCTTAGACGTAATCAAAATTTTCCTGGAAGATCAAACACAAATTTTCCAGAATCCTGTGAGTTTTGCCTGCAATTTTGTAAAAACACAGCATCTAGTGTGAAACTCCATCAGTTTTTTTAAAACTAGAAGTGAGCTGTGTAAAACTACTTTGTTCTGGTAAAGGTATCAGTCAGAATGCAGTGGTATGCAATAATATGCTTATTCCAAGCATCAGAAGATGCCGCCCGCAGTGCTTATGCAACACAAGTCTTATATAATCAACACAGGAAGGCAGCCAAGCCAAGCCAAGCAGCCAAGTGGTTAGCTCCCCCATCTCCCATGTGGGTCTCAGGTCCAAACCCCAGCCATATCATGGCCACTGGGCATTAACATGGTGCCTGCAATTACTGGTGCTCTATAAATATGTGTGATATGCATGTTGAGTTCCCTTCTCAAAATATAGTGAGAAGGAAGAGTAGGTCAGCAGTCTTGTATCCTCTGGGTATAGAAGTAGTCAAAGGCATGGTCAGATTTAAGCATTAAAATCGGTACACTTTATCAAGGTATGGTGTATTGGTGTTTACCAGAAACCTTGAGTTCACTGAGTGCAACTCCTGAATACCACATGTATTTGTTCTTTGCAGAAAGGAACATTACTGGAAGCAAGATGTCATTCTGCTCATGGTTTGGTGGTGAAAAATATAGGGATCATTTTGAGCATGGTAAGTTGGTTATCCTCTTGAGTCATGAATCTTGATAAGCCAGACATGTCCCATGGTCATTATGATTTGCATTAAGTTGTACCCAGTTACATTGTCATCAATTGGCATTATATTGCTGTTGACATCTTGATAAACTGTTAAATTCTTGACAGTTACCTACCATCCACATAAGGGGACTGAAAGATGTAATTGTTCTAAAGTGTACAACATTTTCACTGCTGCCCATCCCACACTGCTTTTTTCCTCATGGCCTAGCCCCATAATTATTGTGGAGACTCCCAGTGTCCCAGCAGTGTGCCACTCATCCATCAGTAGGTGGTGGGTGGTCAATGAAGGAGTGCCCCAAGTGCTGCACCCCCTGCCTGGCAGGAGTGTATGCCTGCTCGGAGTGCAGGCACCCATTGTTCGCCAGCAGTGCCAAGTACGCACACAGCACACCATGGCCTGCCTTCTCTACCACCGTCGGTGCTGACGCGCTGAAACGGCGCAAGGAGTCGGCCACCGCCTACAAGGTCGTGTTGTGGTCTTGTGGGTTGTGTTTGCATGTAGCTGTGACCTGCTTGCAGTCTGTGCAGTGCTGACCTGTCTGCTGCCCGCACCTCACCAGGCCCCAAGATGGGTCACCTGTCAGCCTGGTAAGATAGGGCCCCAGCGGACTCTGAGACAGGTCCCCGTCGGGCCCCCAGACAGGCGCCCTCCGGTCCCCTGGGGCAGGTCTCCAGTGTCTCCTTTCCCCTGACTCCTGTATCCTGTCACAGGGGTGGGCCCATCCATACCCCCAGACAGGCTCCGGCGAGGCTCGGGAGGAGCTGCGCGGGCTACCTGCCGGGGATCGCTTTGGGAGCTGGCCCCGCCCGCCCATGACGCGTCGGCAGGCGGAGTCGCCGCCGCGTGGCGCCGGCCCCGCCCCGCCCCGACCCCGGCCGCCCCGGCGGCTCGCTGGGTAGCCGCCAGCGAGCCTCCGGCGGGCCGCTGGCCAGCCCGCCCCCTCCGTGCGCGCTTGACGGGTGCGGTGACGCTGGCCGGCCTGCTCCGCACGCCAGGGGTATACGCGTGCGGCGAGTGCGGCCACCCGCTGTTCCCGAGCTCGGCCAAGTACGAGCACCACACGCCCTGGCCCGCCTTCAGCCAGCCGGCCGGCGAGGGTGCGCTGCGCAAGCTGCCCGAAGCCGAGGGCGCTACCGAGACCAAGTGCCCGGCGCTGAAGGTACGCCCGGCGGGCCGCGCGCTCAGGCTCGGGACACAGTGGTGTCCGGGCGCCAAATCAGGCAAATCATTGGAGAGATTATTTAAGATGGTTTTTCAAGTTTATTGTGTACTTCCACGCAGCTTTTAGAGTCCTGGTCGCTACGCTGTTTTGTTTGCGCGCCGTCCGGGCTCCATGTTGCAAGAGCATGTCCACGTCGCCAGGCTGAGTTGATATTTGGCGATGAATGTCCCATACACTTCTTCTCGAACTATCCGATGTTTTCTGTTGCCCCCAGCCCAGGCAGCACGATGCAAGACCGTGGCCTTGCATGGTTGCGGTCAGGTCACACGCAGTGCCGAATGCGCCGACAATCTCTTCGCTGACTATATACTATAATCTCTCTGCTCTTGAGATGTGGGCTTTCAAGTTTTGCTGGCTTCCTACCGCTGTGCTGCCGCCGGTCAGGGGTGGACTAAGGTGGGCTGGATTGTGGACGTGGACCGCCTGGGGGTGATGCTGTACTGAGGGGTGTCGCCCTGGCGTTAGGTTCTCCTCGTCTGGATCCCGTCAGGCGACCTGTTCCTAGCCATGCATCCTACGCTGCTTCTATGCAACATCCTGAGCAATACGCATGTTGCACACGACTGCACGTCCCTCAGCCCCCATGCTTCTGGACGCATGCCTCCGCCTGCTGCGCCCGCCTCTGCACGTGTTTTGCGTGCCGCGCGTTATCGTTTTGGTGTGTAGAAGCGTGTGTGTGTGTCGCAATGCATGAACCCCACTTCTCGTTGCGTTTGCGGTGGCACGGACGCAGCGCGACGAAGGACACACCGCCGGCCGTACAGCACATTCCGATAAAGCGCACCCAACGTTCTGGCCGGCAGCTGGCAGCCTGTAGCTTGGCTGCAGTCTGATGGTGTCGGCCTGCAGTTGGCAGTCTGTAGCCTGTCTGCAGTCTGACGGTGGCGGCCGGCGGCAGTCTGTAGCCTGGCTGCCGTCTGACGGTGACGGCCTGCAGTTGGCAGTCTGTAGCCTGTCTGCAGTCTGACGGTGGCGGCCGGCGACAGTCTGTAGCCTGACTGCAGTCTGACGGCGGCGGCTGGCAGTTGGCAGTCTGTAGCCTGGCTGCAGTCTGAGGGTGGCGGCCGGCGGCAGTCTGTAGCCTGGCTGCAGTCTGACGGTGGCGGCCTGCAGCCGGAAGTCTGTAGCCTGACTGCAGTCTGACGGTGGCGGCCGGCGGCAGTCTGTAGCCTGACTGCAGTCTGACGGCGGCGGCCGGCAGTTGGCAGTCTGTAGCCTGGCTGCAGTCTGACGGTGGCGGCCGACGGCAGTCTGTAGCCTGACTGCAGTCTGACGGTGGCGGCAGTTGCAGTCTGTAGCCTGGCTGCAGTCTGACGGTGGCGGCCTGCAGGTAGCAGTCTGTAGCCTGGCTGCAGTCTGACCTTGGCGGCCGGCAGTTGGCAGTCTGAAGCCTGGCTGCAGTCTGACGGTCCGGCGGGCCGGCAGTTAGCACTGTGTGGCCTGGCTGCAGTCTGACGGTGGCGGCCTGCAGCCGGCAGTCTGTAGCCTGACTGCAGTCTGACGGTGGCGGCCGGCAGTTGGCGTGCCGGTTATCTGGGCGCGGCGCGACTTCCTGTGGCGCGGCGCCCGGACGGGCCCAACATCCGCATGTCGGGACCGCAGGACCGGCTGTCAGTCCCGGTGCGGCGCAGGCCGGCTGTGGTGGCCGGGCCTGCCTGCATGCTGGACGAAACGGCGAAACGAAACGGACGCTGGCGTTGGCCTCCGTAATGCATGGTTTTTCCAGTGGTTGGTGAAGGTTTTTGAAACGTTTCGGTCGCTGGGAAGAAACCGCCCTCTTCAAGGTTTGCGGCTGTGTGTGTGTTGTAGCAAACTGGCCAACTAGCACTTCTGTGAGGTCTATTGGGCTTTTCTGTCATATATAGTACAAATGCTATGTTTCTAAGTTTTTGGGAGACTATCGGTTAAGACGTTACTACCATCGAACCCGATGGCTCACAAACCTTAAACCTTCTATAAGGATGACTCGCGACTTCTGGTTCTAGACATCATCCAAAAACTAACCACCTTACACTTGCCTCGCGTCTCTCGCATTGTCCACGTAATGAGCAGGCGCGCCATAATCGTGAGCATGTCGCTCCAATGCTACACAGCCAGCCTGCGAACCGGCCCTCCCCCCGTGCCGCGCAGGTGATGTGCGGTAAATGCGGCAATGGGCTAGGGCATGAGTTCCTCGGGGACGGCCCGGACGGCGGCTCGCGCTTCTGAATATTCTCACACGCCCTCAAGTTTGTGCCTCACAAAGGTCAGTGGTCGCGACGATTGTCAGATTGATGATGATGGTGTCGATGGTGATGATGATGGTGGTGATGATTGATGACGGTGACGATGATTGATGATGACGATGATGATCGATGACGGTGATGATGATTGATGGTTATGATAACGAGGATGAGGATGGTGACGATGACGATGATGATGATAGTCATGTATGACAACTCACAGGAAATAGAATTAATCAAGGTGTTATTGTTAAGTTGCAAATGCACATGCCTTCATAGTCCGTATGCTATGTGGATGTGGCGGTGCAATGGCGTCTGTTCCACTCACGGTGGTCCCCTCGGGGCTCGGCGCCGCCTGATGTGGCGTCTTTCCCACAATCGGCGTTGTCTGACCACGACGCCAGCGACCACAGCCATCGGAGCGCGTGTGGCATGGCACTGCTGGAGCGAACCCATGCGACGCACCCGAAACCCAACAGCCAGTCAGTTGACACCGTTTGAGCGCCTGAACGTCACGACCCGCCGTTTGTTTTCCAGAGGTGATCAAGCGTGAGGGCGCTACCAATGGCACGAAGGCTGAGTAGCGCTGCCCCGCCGGCAGCGCCGCCGGTGGGCGGCGACCCTGCTGGGGTGGCGACCCCGGCTGGAAGGCCGGACGACCCGCAGGCCGGGCCGTCCGGCTCCGGTCCACAGATCCCGGACCGGGGGCGGCGAGGAGCGCGGCGATGGCGCGGGACGCGGCCTCCGCGGAGAGGGACCGGCCGGCAGGAAGCGGCTCAGGGTGTTGTTACGTTTGGGATCGGGCTGTGGTCCTCGCTCCTCACCCCCGGGACTGAGCTGCGGTCTTCACCAGGACTGGGCGCCGGTCCTGATCTCTCTGGTTCTGGCCTCCGGGACCTGATTGGTCCGTTGCCCTGATCTCGAGTACTGGTCACTAGTCCTGACCTCTGGTGCTGGCCTCTAGTCTTGGCGGTAATGGTTTTAAATCCTAACTTATGTCTGTCTCTAGCCGGGACGTTTGGCCTCCGTATCGGCGTTTATGTCTATGTCTACCTAGTTGATACTCGTCTATGCTACCAACCCTCGTTATCGGTCCGTGACCCTGACCGTTGGTGCCGGCGCCTGGTCCTGAACGCTGTCGCCGCCGCCGGTGCCGGCCTCGGGACGCGCCGGCTCCTTGCCGGGACGGAGCCGGCGGCGGCGCGACGGCCACGGGCGGCTCTGGGCCCCATGAGGCACTGCCGGGAGTCCGCCGTCGGCGGGCCGGCCGCGCCGAGACTCGCCCGGACGCCGCCCGGCCGCCGCGCCGCCGCCCGCCCGCGACGTCAGAGTCGTCTGACGTCACAGGCGAGAGGTGTGACGTGTGGGACGCCGTCGCTGGCGGACATGGACTCGATCAGGAACGGTGCGGGTCTGTTACGGCGACAGAGTGCGACGCGCAGAGCGCCGACACCGTGCTTGTCGGCCGTGTGGCGTTAAAGCTTGCGGAAGTGATGGAGACGATACGGGTGGGGATGCGCCTGGCGATGGAGATGCTCGAATGCCGGGTGCGGTGTCGTGGCGGCATGCGCGATTGAGGAGCGCGTGCGATTGGTCGGGTTCGCCTCGTCTCTGTGTCGCTTACGCGTGCCATGTAGTTCTGCCGTGGCCGTCGCCGTGTCCGGCGCGGCCTTTACCGTTCACCGCTCGGAAAGCGGATGGCTTCGCTTGATAAGCTGTTGTAAGCACGCGACACGTTTGCGATGATGCGTCCAAGACTCGGATTGTTGTTTTGCCCATGACGCCTCGGGCCGCTGCCGGCAGCAGCGTCGCAGCGAGCGTGTTCAGGGTCACCGCGCAGTCTCGCGCAGACGCCTCGCCACGCTCCGCGCAGCAGCACGCCGTGGTGCTCCTGTCTGCCCTCTAGCGGCTGTGGCACCCGACGCTCTCTGTTTGAGGGCCGCTGTGCTTTCTATCTAAGGGACGCAGTGCTCTCTGTTTAAGGGACGCAGTGATTTCTGTTTAAGTGGTGCGGGTTTATCAAACTGGGGGGGGGGGGGGGGGAGGTGCTGCACTCGTGCTGTCGCACGAGACGCTCTGACTGGTGCGTGGTGTGCGGTCAGTGCCGGCTGTCGCCATGCTCACGTCTCCGGTTCACATCACGTTCACGTCTCCGGTTCACATCACATTCACGTCTCTGGTTCACATCACGTTCACGTTTCGTTCACGTCTCCAGCGACGATAAAATGCCTTTAGCTCCAAGTTGGATACGTCTGTGGAATTAATACAATCTGGGGAGATGTGTTGTTGACTTCGAGGAACAGCACAACGGCACGGTTGCACGAAGATAAGGGGCCTCAGCGTTCGCTGGAACCGCTCGACGGACCTAGCGCAGTAGCGCTGCCGGCGTTAGGTGCGGTAGTATTCGGAGCTCTGCCCGGCACTAGCCCCGCGCCACCGTCTGCTAGCCCGCCAATTGCAAAATCGCCGCAGACGTAGACATGTCAGTGCACACCTGAAGCCCATTCTTGTTGCCGGTTGTGATTTTATTCTTTTGGGATGTGAATGCCCCTATTGGTCATTAGTGGCCATTTCGGGGATGTGGGTTGGAGGAGGGTGAAAAGTGGCGGACAAGACTGCGTGCACTTGGGAGTGACCCGTCGGGGCCAAACCCGCGCAGGGACTCCATATTTGGGGTATGTGCAGGCGGGTGGATGTTGGGTCTCCGGTCAGGGAAACATGTCCACTCATGGCTGGTGCTGCTAATGCTGGTGCGTGCAGTTTTCCCCGGATAGACGGGAAGCCGCAGCACGCTGGACGAAGCGCGAATAGGAAAAGGAGCGCGGCGGGCGAAAACCGCGCAAGGAAATTTATTGGTACCGATCGAGGTCAGGTTTGTGGCACGCTTGGGCGTTGTGGAGAGATGCAAAGTCGACCTGGCGTGGATACACGGGGTGACCGCCGCCCACCGCCTGGGTACCCACGTGTAGCTCCGCCGACCTGCCATTGCAAACGGAGAGCACCTCGCCCTTGCAGACGATTCTCTGCGGTGTATCGAGTCGTGGCACGGAACGGGATCTGCCTGCGGGCGCCGGCGCACCGAAAATGTCAAAAGGAGCCCCTGCAGCCTGACGTGCAAGAATCAACAAGGCAGTTTTGAAGAGGTTATGAGGTCCAAGGCCTCAGCCACAGCGACACGAGCTGGGCGACCGAGTGCTGGAGGGATGGGTGATGTGGAGCTTACCGTTCTCGTCACGGGGTAATGTTACAAGCGCGTGGCGCGGAAGCGTGCCGGCGCCGCCACCTGCACTCAGTGATATGTAAACGCGGAATGTTTGCCGCGAGTCTCTGTACGTCTCCGCAGGGCGTAATTGGAAATTAACAATTACTACAACGCATCGTGGTCACCGGCCGGAAACCTGACACTGCTAATCGCTTCACCATGACCCGTGGTAGACTGACTCGACGCGCCCGGTCAGAGCTCCGTACGGCTCCTCGCTGGGCCAGTAGCGGCTGCTCCCGGCAAAAGCGTCCCGCACATGGACAAAGTTTTATTTATAAATCAGCCCCATTGGACCGCAGCCGTCGGGCGACGCCTCGGCGCGCGCCCCGCCATCCCCGTACGACCCTGGCGCCCACGGCCACCGCTGCGCAAATGCTAAAATATCACAGGTGCTGGCTGGGGGGCCGCCGGACGGCCGAGGCGCCGCCTCCTGCCGCCGCCGCGGCCGGGCGCCGGCCGGCGCTGCCGATGGTCCGGACAACCACGTCCGCCGACGTGCCGCCGGCGGCGGGCGTGGCGGCGGCTCGCGTCGGGGCAGTCGGCGGGGCGTCGCTGTCCGCTCGATTGTCGGGCGGCGCGCGCCGGTCCAGCCGCGGTGCCGCCGGCGACCTGAGGTTGTCTGGCGGTGTCGACGTCGGTGCGCTGGTCGGGCCGCGCCAGGGAGCCGGTGCCGGCGCCGGCGGGGGCGCCTTGCCGGCCCCGAGCGCGTCCCAGCGCCGCAACCCGGCGGAACTTCGCCTCGCTCCGGCGGCGCGGCGATGGCAAGAGATCAGCTCTGCGGCGTTCGCTGGCGGCGTCTTCCGCGGCTGGCGCGCCGGCCGCCTCCGCCGGCCTCCCCTGACCTGACCCGGGCGGCGCTGGCGGCGGCGCAGCCCCACGCCCCGGCGGCCCCTCTCACCACCGGAGGCCACTCGCAATGTAAAGCTTCCAAACGGCGTGCGCCACACGGCGCGACCCCACGCGCCGGATAATATTAACAACATAATAGTGATCACCACCCTGGAAGGCGCGCAGCCGCCAGCGGCAAGGCGCGGGCGGCGGCCAGCTTCTGCGGGCGGCGGGCGCGGGCGGGGCGGGGTGGCGGCGGCGGACGGCGGGGCGGGCCGCGGCGCCGCGCCGGCCGGCGGCGGGCCCGCAGCGGCGGGGGACGACCCCCTGAGAATCACCGCCGGCCGGACGAGCCGGCCAGCGCGCCACCACACTGAGAGACACAAATACAGCGCGTCGCTTTGTATGCGTCAGTTCAGGTCCCGGTCCTCCAGAAATTTGTATTCGAACTTGAAGCCCTCCTTCTTCCGCTGGCTCCACTTTTCGAAGTCGAAGTACACGTACGTGCCCTGCCGGCGCGGGAGGGCGCGTGTCAGCTGCGATGTCTCTGCCCGTGGGGACCACCGGCGCGGCCACGAAAACCACGTGCCACACACCGGGGAACGGAACAGAATAGTTCACCGGTAGCAACATCTCGCGAAAGAAAGTCGTGTTTTGTCCTTCGCATTGTCCGATTCGACTATCGACATTACACGACGCGGTCCCCATGCTTGCGTCCACGAGCAAACCTCAAACGTCCGCGCTTCGACGCAAAACCATGATCAATATCGACGCGACAACTGCGTGTAGTTCGCCGAACCATGCGGAATTAGCCACGGCAAGATCCATGCCACCTCGGATGGCAACGATGCACATGGTCCACACAACCACTCGCTCGACAAGGTGCGAGGCCCTCTTAGCTACACCCGTCGCGGCCGTACCTGCTCATATTCGTCGGTGATGACCTTGGGCTCCTCGTGCCGCTGAAACCACATCATGTACTTGGTGTGGAACCTCCAGGACTGCTTCTTCAGCGCCTTCGCCGCCAGATACTGGGCCTTTGTACCTGCGGGCGGGCACGTCGGCCTTCAGTGCCGCCACTCGCACACCTCCCGTGCCCAAGACAGGCGGACGCGCACAGCGTGCCGGCGCGCGGCGCCCGGCCTGCCGCCGCCGCCAGTCTGCTGGCACGCCGCCGCGCCGCAGCCGTCAGCGCTGCGTGATGACGTGCCCGCGTCATCATGCTTGTTCGGACGACCAGTGCGCACTGCTGGACTGGCATGCGTAGACCGGCGTTCACTGGCGAACGGCACTAGCGGTGCTGTCTGTCTGTGTGTTACGTCCTGGTCTGTTCTGTTCTGTCCTGTTGTTTTGCTCTGTCTGTCTGTTCGGGTGCTGAGAGGCGGTCGTCGGTGAGCTACATGTGGTGAGTGGAGCAAGATCGTTTGGTGCGGCGTGTGGCTGATATGTCAGTAGTGACCATCCGCACTACCACTTCAAGCGAATTTCGAATTTTCGAATTTCCCACCTTTGGGGCAAATTTCAAAAACACACTGCAAATTACGCTGTCAACGCTTTGTGACAGCACTACACTCATTCCCTTTGTGGCAGCCCCAGAGTGTATCCATAGTCCGCGACAATCGCAGTTGTCGCGACCGCCGTCGTCATGACAACCGTCGTCATGACGGCAGAACCTGCCGTGGGCCGTCGTCAGCTCTTACGGGTTAAGAGTGGTGCCTCTACTGGTATGGATGACGACAGTACAGATGACTGTTTGCGACTGGTACAGCGGCCGGCAAGGGCCAGTTAGTGAGAAGCGCATTTGTTGAAGTTTGAACCAGCGCGTCAATGTAGACCACGTGATATTCCGCTTCCCAAAGCCAAAGTGCGCTTCGAAACGAGCCACTTTGGTGAACGCAGTAGGGGAAAAATCAAAAGCTTTGGTAAAACGTATCGTTGAATTCGCGGGATAATAGCCTAGTGTCTGCGTATCGTTTTAAGCATTTGTTTTCAGATTAGTGTGTTGCAAACATTGCAGGACTCAAACGTTGGAAAAAGCAGGGCAAATGACAAGCATTGCTTTCATAGTGGGGAGCATGGAGTTCATGAGAATTCTCCCGGGGGAGTGGGTACTTCAAATCAAAATTCGGAGCTTTCAGACATATTTCGAGAAAATGTTTTCTCATCGATCAAATGGAACTCTTCTGATCCAACAATGGGTGAACAGAAAAAAGTGTCATACACCCTTTAATCGGGATTTGTGAAGGATAGCCAGTTTGAGAGTGACAACACTGGGGAAGAGAAAGGTTCAGCAGCAGCTGCGCGCGCCAAGGCCGCATGGCCTAGCTTTTTCGCAGCAAGTGCGAGTAAGTCAGCGCGTTACAAACAACATCATGCAGACAAGCTACACTTCATTAAAGTTTCTCGGACCACAAAGCCACACGTCGGCAACATAAATACAAACTACGTGCCTGCTTTGAAATTACAGCAAACGTACCAATTCTCGGAGCGCTTCCTTACCTTCCATATAATAGAAGATGAAGAAGAGGGTTTCAACAGACAACTTGAGAAAAAAATCGATGGAATCACTGCCAGGTGGGGGTACCTGCGGACACAAATGACGCGTTACGTCACAGCTCTCATCTGTTACCAGTGCGGAGACGCCATCTGTTACGAGTGCAGTTGCCAGCCGTCCAAATGCATTCCTGGGGTGCTAAGACAACTGTTTCTCCCCCACCCCACCTACCCTTCAAGACGCGGGGAGTGGGAGAAGTGGAGCGGGTTTCGGGAACCTTTCCACACCGTGACGCAAGAACCGCCGACGGAGCCCTTAACCCGGGCCAAACCATGCAGGCTACCATCATCCTCCATCCGACACACAGCACGCGAGACCACAGGCCGATCAGCCCGCAAGCAGGTCTCCCACAACGCCACCAGTCCCCACACCACAGCTGGGCGTACAACAGCCCCCGGTAGTCAGTCGCGCTGACGCGCCTTGAGCGCCACTCCCGACGCGGACAGGTCCCCGCGCGCGCCGCGTCCCGCGTGGCGCGGCAGGCGGCGCCAGGCACGGTCGGCGCGTTGGCCTTATCGTCGCGAAACAGTGAGGCGGGCTGCCCGCTTAGAGGCTATAGGCTGGTCAGCTGGTGAGCCTCTGCGGCCTGATTGGTTGACTGGTCTGGTCAGCTGGTGAGTCTCTGCGGCCTGATTGGTTGATTGGTTACCGACGGTGCCCAATCATACCAAACTACGAGCACTGGGAAGACAAAGAGCCCGGCTAACCCGGTGGCAAGGTCGTGTCGGGTACGCACACGACAAACGATAAACAGGAAATAGGGAATCGGGCGATTGGAACACCTGACGTTGGGTTACCGGACCTGGGGCCATGGTGACCACGGCCTTAGGTCCGGTATGGGCGCTGATCCAACCGTGGAATAGGTGGAGACGGCGCTGACTTACGGAACACGCCCCAAGATGCTAACGATAGCAAAGCTGCCGTTTGAGCCAGCCGGCCGTTTAACCACGCAGGCGTCTTATTAGTTTCATTAAATAGTGCGCATTTGCGTTTCCAAGACTGGAATAGGCTCTACAAACAAGACATGTTGTAAATCAGTACCTATTTTCGTCTGACACTGCATTAAGCGTCACTTTATCGCAAAGGGTGAAATACAACACTGACACCCACTCTTTCCTCTGTTAGAAGGCCTACCCAAGAAACTCTCCCGACACGCAGGTTTTCAAATTTGGACCGTTGGTAGGCCGGGCCAAGTTTTCAGGAACCCGAATACCCGAGCATAGGTACGGACACGGGTACGAGTGCGGGTACGGGTACGGGTACGGGTATGAGTACGGTTCGGGATGCTGACCTATAACCAGCAGTTTGTCGTGACGGTGCTGGCCTACAACACATTGACCGGCGGGAGGGCACCGACCTACGCATGTGCGGACAACGGCGCGGCCTACCATCCTGGGGGAAGTAAAGCAGCATGGTATACAGTACTGACCTGGGGGCAGTTGGGCGACGTGCGGCCCGGTACTGACCTGGGGGTAGTAGGGCGGCGTGGGGTACGGGTTTCGCGGCAAATACGCCCTCAGCCGCTCCGAGTCGGATGGGTGTGGCATGTGGTAGAAGGCGGCCTGCCGGCACACAACACAGGTCAGGTCATGGCACGTCACGTCACGTCACGTCACGTCACGTCACGTCACGCACGCCGGCTCCATCACAACGCACGAGCACACGTGTGTAACAAACCACCCGGCAACGCGCTGCGCGTCACGACGCCAGCGACCACGAGAGCGCCACCGGTCGGCGGCGCGTCTCGCACGACAGCCAATCAGGCGCGAGTTCAGGGCGGGTCGGTGCCCCACGCCGCCGGTGGCGATCACCACTCCATCGGCGCCGCGCCGGGCCCGCCTGGCAGCGCCGCCGCCGGCCCGCCCCCATCCCACGCACCTGCAGCATCTGGTACTGGTAGTCGTGCTCCTTGGTCATGGGCACGGGCCCCAGCGGCGCCACGCTGTACAGCACCGGAATGGTGGCCTCGTTCGTCGGCGGCGCTGCGGCAGACGGCGGTGGTCAGCGTCGCGACCGCCGCGGGTTGCGGGGTCGGCCAGCCCTGACGCGTGCGTCGTCGCCACGTCCCGACGGACCCGGCGGGTCCCACGGTCCCCTCGGGGTCCCCGGCACCCGCCGCACGCGTCAGGGCGAAGGGTGCCGGCCCCCAACAGGCGCGGACAGTCCGCCGTGAGCACGTCTGAGGTCACCGCTGTCGCTTGTTGGGACACAGTTGCCTGACCTGCCTCCAGCGACGGGCCCGAGCGGCACCGCTGAAAGCCTTCCGAAAGCGTCGTCCTCATCAGCACAGGACGTGGCGCAAACAGACGGCCACAGATGAGACATTGCGTGCGGCGGCAACAGACCCAGCGGCAATGATAAGCAGCTGTTCCACCGCCTCCGACACTGTCGACACACGCAGGCTGACAGGCCCCGCCTGTTCCGCGCCGTCCCCTTTATGCGGACTCTCACCTCGCTCAGTGCGTTAACCTTCCATACGCGTACGTGCTGAGGGGTCCCTCAAAAGCGGCCGTGTGTCGGCAGAGAGACACTCGAACTCCATCATCGGGGACGTGGCCTCATCCACTCAACGACCCGGTGCAGGGCGGCGACCCCAAAACGGTCACGGAGCATCAAAGTGCGGAGCTCCGCACCACTCGCCATGCCTCCCGAGTGGCACGCGCCGGCCCGCTAGCTGCCGGGGCTCTCGGTCCCGCCCGGCTCCGCACCACTCGCCATGCCTCCCGAGTGACACGCGCCGGCCCGCCAGCTGCCGGGCCTCTCGGGCCCGCCCGGCTCCGGACGGCTCGGCGCTCTCACTTTTATTGACGTCGGCTGGCGAGGCGTTGAGCGTTGTCCGCTCCAGGTGCTGTGCCAGCGACTTCATCGAGCTCGGGTCGGCCGGCTGCCGGCGTAGACGGGCGTCAGTCGCCGGCCGGACTGAGACATGGGGCACGCCGGGGACAGCGACAGGGACGTCACACGTCGCAGGGACGTGGGATGCGCCGGAGATAGGGACAGGGACGTCACACGTCGCAGGGACGTGGGATGTGCCGGAGATAGGGACAGGGGCGTCACACGTCACAGGGACGTGGGATGTGCCGGAGATAGGGACAGGGACGTCACACGTCACAGGGACGTGGGATGCGCCAGAGATAGGGACAGGGACGTCACACGTCACAGGGACGTGGGATGCGCCAGAGATAGGGACAGGGACGTCACACGTCACAGGGACGTGGGATGCGCCAAAGATAGGGACAGGGACGTCAAACGTCACAGGGACGCGGGGTGCGCCAGAGATAGGGACAGGGACGTCATACGTGATAGGGACACGGGGTGCGCCAGAGTCAGGGACAGGGACGGGGACGTCCCTGTCTCCAGCAGAAGTCTAACACTAAATGGCCGAGTGGCCGAACACAGATAAAAACATCAGCCCACCTAACAGCGGGCGAAGCTCGAGCCGCACCAGCCGCCCTTCTCACCTTCTCCCCGTTCACTTGCTGGCCCTGCTGCTGTTGTTGCTGCTGTTGTTGTTGTTGCTGCTGTTGCTGCTGCTGCTGTTGTTGCTGCTGCTGTTGTTGTTGCTGCTGTTGCTGCTGCTGTTGCTGGAGCTGCTGCTGCTGCGCCGCCTGCGCCGCCTGTTGCGCCGCCTGCTGCACCTGCTGCTGCGCCTGCTGCTGCCGAGGACCGGTGGCGGGACTTGGCGCGGCAGGCGGCGGCAGCGAGGCGGAGGCGGGCGCCGTCGGCTGCGCCGCGCCGCCCGGCGCCGAAGACGGCACGGCCGCCGGCGCCGGCGTCACCGTCACCGACGACGACGACGGCGTCGTCGTGGTGAGGATGTGTACTGCCGGCGCGGAGGTCGCTGGTCAGTGCCACGACGCGCGCCAACCGTCGCCACGCGTCAGCGCTCCGCGCTCGAAGTTAAGGGCGTTCATAGCGGGCAGTACATGCTGATGGCAGAGCGAAGAGGACTGCAGAACATTCCTCCGTGGAAAACGTGTCTTTCGTTACACTGTTGACGTCGCGAATGCAGCCGCATCGGGCCCACACGCACGCACAGAACACAAGCAACGCCATTATCTCCGACAACGCCAGCCGCAGACATCAGCTGACGCGAGCAACGAGACGCCTCCCACCGCCACAGCTCGCCTAGGGTGCACACAGGTTGCCTGATCCGGCTCCAAGAAGCAAACCTCACTCGGCGTAAGCCCATGCCGCCGGGCCGGGGGCAGGAGCGGCGCGTGCTCTCTCTCTCACCTGAGGCGGCGGCGGGCGGCTGGGAGGCTGCCGCCACCGAGGCGAAGTTGGGACTGGGCGCGGCCACCAAGCCGCTGCCGGCCGCCGCCGACGCCAGCGGCGTCGACTGGGACCGCGAAGTGCCGGCCGGCGGACTCGGCTGGCTCGCCGACACTGCCGGCGGCGGGACGCCGTCAGCGCCCAGCGGCGCACACCGAAACAGAGCAGACGGGTGACCATCCTCGACACAGCGGTCTGGTCACCACCCTCCATACAGCAGTCTGGTCACCACTCCCCACACAGCAGTCTGGTCACCACCCTCCATACAGCAGTCTGGTCGCCACTCTCCACACAGCAGTCTAGTCACAACTCTTCACACAGCCCCAGGATGCATCTCCAAACAGCGGCCCAATACACCACTCCGTACAAAGGCCCACTAATGCCCGCCACAAAGCGGTCTGACGCATCCATCCACAGACAGTTCAGCCCCGACATACAACATGCGAGTGCTATGGTCAGACAGTCAGACCACAACACTCGTCAGGGACTACACACCACTCAGCGCAGCAACCCTCCCGCACAGGAGCGGCGCCCCTCGTCGCAACGTCCGCGCCCTCAACCCTCTCCACACAGCAGCCGACACGACATATCTGATCCCGGAGCAGCTGGGTCCTCATACTTCGCCACTGAGCATCAATTAATGCGGCGCGGAACAGAGCACGAGCGCAAAAGCAGCACGCACCCCTACCGCGGCGCCACGGCGGGGAGCGCATGTTCCCCCCAAGTACGTGTCCTAGCGCGTGAACAAATGACAAGGAGGGCAGCCAACAGACTATGCAATGACTAGTGACGAGCAATGAGATAAATGGAAGCCAGCCTCTGGAGATGCTTCCAGGCATCACTGATCGCTGACGAAACGGGACGGTCTCCGCGGCGACGCTAACAACCAGACGCAGGCAACAGGCAGAGGAGGTCGGGCCACCCGCTGTCTGCGGGGCGTGTTAAGCAGACGTCTCTGTTATCCATGGGCTCTGTTACTGCTGACCAGCACCGAGAGACCGTGCTTAACCTCATCTCTTTCGCGTCTCCGGACCACGCTGACGCGCGTCATATCTCGCGCCGCTTCGTTGTTTATTGTTGCTCATTAGTGTTTTCGGGCGCGTCGACTGCACTGGTCATTCTGCGCCTAATATATCCCGCGCCGTGTTCCCGGACATTCCATCTGCCCTTTACGGTGGCATCGGCCACAGCTCCGGTGCAAGCGCAGATGCTCACACCTGACGACGCCGCGGCTGATAGGAACTACTCATTTCCAATCGTCGTGCTGCATCATTCCGGTATCGCCGGGGGGGGGGGGGCTGCAGCTAGCACGGTCACACTGCGGCTATAAGCCCGAAAAAATCGATACTCAGCGTTGCGCGACACAGCAAACGCAAACACACGCACATATTGACCAAAGCAGACCATCACCACATCTCCCATTCGCACCGGTGGCGGCCGCCGGCTGCGGGGCCGCCGGCGAGCGCCTCGTCCGGCGAGCGAGCGTTACCTGCGGTGGCCTTTGAGCTGGCGGTCAGCGAGCCGGCGCTGGGTGGCGCCGCCTTGTTCGACGAGCCCGACGCGTGTTTCGTCTTCTGCGTCATCGACGAGTCTTCGGACACGGACCTGCGGCCGGCCGTCGGGTCAGTGGCCGCGGACGGGAGCGCCGCAGAGGAGGGAGGGGGATGGGGGGGGGGAGGGACGCTCACATTCCGATAAAGCATGGCGCAAGGCATATTTATTTGTCGACAGCAAGCTGTATAATCAGCCAACTAACTGGCCTTCAGCTACTTCTTATTCAGCTCACATAGAACGAAAAAATGAATATAAGCCAATCGGATCATAGAGACCTCACAGCATCCACCTTACAGGATGGGTCGCGTAAAATGGTTGACGGTAATCTCTGGTTGCTTATTGAAACATCGCGATGAACAATCCTTCGTTTTTTTTTCTTTAATTTTTTCCTCAATTTCATAGAGCTAGATCTCCAATATCTACGCCGCAGGTTAACAAAACCCATTTTTTCAGATTCCAGTGGACCTTCCTGCGGCCGCGTCGGACACAAACACTGCAGCACTCTGAACCGCGCCTCATGCTCTTCTCCCAGCACTAGGAGGGGGGGGGGGGGGGGGGGGGGGTCGAGCCAGACCGCTGCTCCGCGCGCCGGCCGCGCCGAGCCCTGACCGACCTCCGCGTCCGCTTGTTGTCGTCGGCGGCGTGGTTGACTTCGGCGGCGGCGGCGGAATGGCTGTTGTTGAGCGGCGACGGCGACGAGCCTGAGTGCAGCGAGTTGGTCGGCGTCTCGCTCGACTCCTCGCCCCGCGTCACGCCGTCCGTCACGCCCACCTGCCGGGCATCACACGCGCGCCCACCGGCGTCACGCGGCGGCACGCGGCAGCGCCAGAGCGTCGCACCATGTCGACTGTCGTCACAGCGGTACGCAGCGCCACGCAACCTTCAACGATGATGATTTTGGCTTCAGTACGGGCCGACTACACCGGTCACACGGCGCCCAATTCACACATTCGAAGAGTACAGCGCCGGCGTTTACTGTTGGACACTCGGCAGCGCACCGAGCCGACGTCCGTATCGCGGAGGGTCGCACAGCGGCCGCGGCGGCCACACTCCGGCAATGCCGCGCCGCACGCGCGGTGCCCGGCTGGCGGGCACGACCAGCGGTGCCCAGACAGCGAGCCGTCGCGTGTGCCCGCGGGAAGGAGGCGACTCCCCAGGGGAAGAGAAAGGCAGACGCCCAGACAGCTGCCTTTTCCTGCCTGGGGCTGACGATGGCAGCTTGTTTGTGCGAGCATGGTACGGGACCAGGTGAAACGGCCACGACAGGTCGTCACGCTGCACAGGGCGAATGTCGCAGCATAATTTTGCACACAAAAAAATCATGCGATGCCAGCGGGCTGAGAAAACAGTCCCACAAAATGCAGCTACATCGACTTTGTTCCACGGTTGTGCGACCGCCAGACACATAAACTACGCTAAAGTCATTGGCTCGCTGCAATCTAATGGTCGCCACTGGACGTACTGTAGCTTGATACGACCCTTCCCCACGCAAATTTTAATGTTCCACGCGATGACACCATGCCTTCATGGCGGTACACAGACCGTGTCGGCCTGCTAGGGAGGTACTCCGCATGCCTAGTTCTACCATCCATCACTGGGAACTCCTGCACCTGAGCATGAAGGGCGATCAGGCAGCGAGTGGTGCCCAGCTGGTGCCATATGTAGCCATGTGCGCAGCGCCAATGAAACCCATTTCCGCGGTCGCCTTAAGCCCAGCTGACATTTACTGGCCAGGACCAGCCCACGGGAACACAACGACGCTGCAAACATGTCAGCAGCAGAAACCCGCTCTGCAGCCAACAGCCGTGAGCCATGCGGCACCGGCCGGCCGTGCTTACCACGGGGAGCCCGCCGAGCCCCTCTGAACAGGGGCCGGGCGGTCGGATGTCGCGTCTCTCCCCACCAGCCGTGATTACCACGGGGAGCCCGCCGAGCCCCTCTGAACAGGGGTCGGGCGGTCGAGTGTCGGATCCCGCCATACCAGCCATGATTACTACGGGGAGCCCGCAGAGCGCCTCTGAACAGGGGTCGGGCGGTCGAGTGTCGCGTCTCTCCCCACCAGCTGTGATTACCACGGGGGGCCCGCCGAGCCCCTCTGAACAGGGCCCGGGCGGTCGGGTGTCGCGTCTCTCTCCACCAGCCGTGCTTACCACGGGGGGCCCGCCGAGCCCTTCTGAACAGGGGCCGGGCGGTCGGGTGTCGCGTCTCTCCCCACCAGCCGTGATTACCACGGGAAGCCCGCCGAGCCCCTCTGAACAGGGGCCGGGCGGTCGGGTGCCGGGCCCCGCTCACTCCCCACCAGCCGCGCGGCACGCCGCCGACGCCGACCACTCACGTCAGCGATGAACATCTCCTCCATGTTGTCCATGTTGATGTCGTCGTAGATGTACTCGTTCTCGTCGAACTCGGGCTCCTGGTTCGACTCGGTGTAGTACTCCACGTCCTCGCGGATCTTTTTCACCTGGTCAGGGCGGCGGCAGTGGCTCCGTTACACAGCCGCCGAGCCGGCAGCGGCGAGGAGGTGGCGCAGGCTCCAGACACGGCGAAGGGGACAAATACAAATACGCAAACGGCAACATGAACGCCGGCTCACGATGTTCATGCGCTTCCATCACAAGGGGGGGGGGGGGGGCGCTCGCCAAGCGGTGCTGCGAATTTCGAGCAGGGGCAGTTGGCTAGCCTGACTGACAGCTGACGGTCGCTGGTCAAGGTCAGCCGAATGAATTTGGCCCACTCGGCCAGCAATACCGACATCCTTCTATCGATCTAACATCAACTCCTAATTGGTCCCAATGATAGCCTGCCGGGACAGCATGACAAGCCGCGACTGCCGTACGCCCCATCGACCCCCTGATACGCTATCAGAACAAAGGCCTTTCTCACCCATCTGATCTCTACCCTCTTCACGCGATGACGACAACAACCACAGCTCGCGACACGATGACGAAAACAACCACACTTCCGCCGCCGCGCGCGGCAGCTCACGCCGGCTCAAATCTCACAGCTCGCCTCTCGGTTGACAACAAGCGACACCCGCCCCCGATCGACGCCAAGTCCAGGCCGCGCCGCACTATGTTATATCTCACTGACCGAGGCATGCAACTGCCGCGTCACAAACGCTGCGCCGACCAGGAGAAACGGAAGCGGCCAACGCTTCCCGCGGCGGGATTCCAACCAGGATCGCCGGCTTGCCAACCGGTCGCACCAAAGCCACGCCGCTCACCGAGTCCATGTCGACGGCGTTGTTGTCGAGCATTCGCAGCAGCGTTTCTAGCTTCTTGATGTGGAAGCGGTGCCGCTCGATCCAGTGCTTCAGCTGGTCGAGCCGCTCCGACTTGTCTTTGTCGCGCTTCCTCTTCGCAGTGAGGCCGTCCATCTCAGCCTCGAACTGGTCAATCTGCCGCCAGACCGGACGCCGGTCAGACACCGGAACATCGCAGGCACAGATGCTGCATGCCACCAGTCTGTACTTAATCATGACTATATTATACTAGGATGTATGTTACTTTGTAGCCCATCTGTCGGCACAGACCCATTCGTGCATAATTACGCGTGGTGCGAACACATTGGCGCAGATATAACGCGAGGCACGGCAATAGGCGGGTATGAAGCTACGACAACCGATCACTTTCGGACATCCAGCAGCTATGGCCACATAAAATTATCCAAATAGATACTGAATTATACCTAAAATAGAAAAAAACAAAAGGAAATCAATTTTGCAGGAAGCTGATAAAATCACGCAATACCTGGCACTCCAAGATCCCTACCAACATTCACCAGCCAGTTGCCAGCCCTACGACTAGCCTGCTCGACCAGGAACTGTCCATATACAGCAGAAGACGCGGATGGACACGAGCACATCATAATCACCTGGACCATAGAAAACTTAACAAATGGAGCAAATATAGCAGAATAACAAACAGGCCAGGGCACATACGAATCGCATCGCAACACAAAGGAAGGCAACTGGAAAGCGAAGCAATATCCACAGCCATCTTACATACACACAGAAGGCAGTGGTGGGTCGTAAAAAGGTATAAGGAACCAACCCCACAAAAATGTTCGCCTCCACCTTAAGCTTCCGTGAATCGCCTCGAATTGAGCAGGCTGAAGAGACTTCCGCCAGAACACCTGCAATCTGCCTGGATCTGAGCTGACTGGGGAGGGGTGGTGGGCGGTGGGAGAGAGAGCTGAGCCTCTCTAACACGGCCCTGTCAGCGGCGTGAGCAGCAGCCGACCGCCCGCTGGCCGGGAGCTGCTCAGCGCCGGGAGTGAGTGGCCGCGCCGGCGCCGCCGCCCCCCTCACCTGCACATTCAGCTGCTCTATACTGTTGGAAAGCCAGCGCGTGCACTCGTCGCGTTCCTTCTGTACCGGGTCCAGCTTGGTGGCCGCGCCCAGACCCTCCTTGGAGTAGGCCTTGGTCTTGGTCTCCCGCTCCAGACCCTTGAACCGCTCCATTTGCTGAAAGGGCGCGGCTGGACGTCAGCTGACCAGCGTCTCAGCCGACTGAGGCAGGGCACAGCACCTCTCCTGTTCTGCGGTGCGGCCCCGACAGCTGAACAATCGTGTCAATCCCCGTCCAAAGCGCTCCGCCATCTTCTCACGCAGTGCTGAAGCTGGATCGCGACGCTGAACGTTTTCGTGGTCACGGCTACGATCATGTGATGATCAAATCATCACATGATCATCAAAAGATCAAATGATCACGACCATTTTAAACGTCAAAACCACGACACCCCTCCTCTCAGGCCCATGACAGTTCTCATCATGCGTCGGGTCTCGGATATGCGCCGAACGTACACACACCACGGCTGAAATTTGTCAGTGCGCCTCGGCAACAGATAAGCACTCCCCCTCCCCCAGGAGATCATAAGCTATGCTGGATGCACTGAGCGGTTTGACGTTTGGACGTCTAACCTTTTCGTTTAAAACACCAGAGCGCGTGCGTGAGGCACACTGCAAGTTATACAGGGTCATAGCCTGTATGATGGTCCCAGCCAACGAGCTATCCGTACCGTTTCAATGAGCTTTCGATGTTCGACAAGACTGCTCTTGTCCTTGACCTCAGCAGACGCCTGCCAGGTCTTGATTTGGTCCCGCAGCCGCTGCAGCTTCTTGATCTCCTTCTTGAGGTCAGCCTCATACTTCTCCTTCTGATTGCTGTTTGTGGCATGGGTCACCTTGGACCAGATGTCCTCGAACGTCTCGACGCCCTCTGTCACCTTCTTTAGGCACCTGTCTATTTCACCTGGGGGCAGACAACGGACGGGGCGTCAGCCTCAGTCCCAGCCTGTATAGCCGCCAGACCACTTTCAGCCATGTGGCGACCTTTGAGAGCGTCACTTACGACCAAGCTGAGCCTGACCTTACCTGACCTGACCTGACATGACCTTAGCGCCGATCACCCGTCACCTGCAGAGATGGTGATGATTTGGGGCTTTAGGGCGCATCGACTGCTGTAGTTCGTGCAGCGCCCATAACTATGAATTCATGCAAAGCCACCCACCAGGCAAGTGCATTAATCGAGTCATCCCATAAAGCCCTGATGGTCAAGCCTAGTATCATGATGAAAAGATAACTGAGAAATCTATAGCGCGAAGAAACTGGAGCACTTTACCAAACTCGACAGCGTGCAAAGAATCCCCTAAAAAGTCACATAGCATGCGATTCTGGACGTAGTGTCCGAAACACTGCGCTCTCGTTGCAGTAAGGTGACGGCAAGCGACCAGTACGTGACGCACGGTCAGCGGGTCAGAACATCGACTGCGGCATGGTCTGTCGCCAGCCAATAGCACGTGACAGTGCGAAGCATATGTGTGGCCTATGCGTAACCGGCAAAGGGCAGCTTCTTCCCTCCGATTGTCCCGAAAACACGACTGCCATAGTCCAATACGGGGTTTCAAGGACTGCAGCTCGTTGGCGCTCAGCGAGTTCCAGTGAAACTGCCATCGCTCCTGCATAAACGACGACACTGCGGGGTACATGTCTTGAGCTGGTAGTGGTGTTATAGGAATGCGTGTACATAAAACAGAGAGCTTTGCTGATGGCTATAAGCTCGGAAGTGTAGACAGACGCAGGTGAAGGCAGGGTGAATGACCGGGTTGTGGATCCGCACACAAAAGTGCACCCTACACCTGCATCCGTCTTCGAGCGATCTGTATAAGTAATCATGCCCCGTCCAAGGAGGCTATGTGCTCTAAGGCTGCGCCTTTAAGTTCTGTCATGAGAACTCGTTGCTTTTGCATGTTTGATAGCGAAACATCCACTCTTGGCGATGCTAGCTCCCAAGGAGCAGTCTTCATGGGTTTAGGTCTGATGACACGTCCTAAGTTGAGGCCGCTCGCGCCTAAGGGTTCTCTCATTCGTACACAAAAGGGGAAGTTTGTGGGGACCGTTGACGTAGAAAAAGCATTCGTAAGCTACGCGAAAACACTGCTTTGTAAGTGGGATGATGTGGGAACTGCGCCAGCTTGCACATGTAGCGCAGTTCCCAGATCAGCATCTGCCTTCGCAATGCTAGTGGGTGCTCGTGAGCCTCCACCAGAAGACTATCTATGGACGATGTTCGAAAAGCCCCTGTGGCGATATGTAGTGCGGCGTGATGCATCGTGTTCAAAGTACGTTTGATCAAGTCTCAAGAACCGTCATAGATAAAACAACCGTAGACAAGTTTTGAACGAATCAAGGAGCGATATAGGAGTAAGAGTGTTTCCATTCACCATTTTTTCCATGAGCTTACAAAGCGAAGATGTGAGGGCGATCGGGCGATAGTCAAGGACGTTCGTTCCACTTTTCCCGGGCTTTAAAATACACACTACTATGGCCTATCGCCAGGTTGGCGGGAAGTTACCTGACTCCCATATAGTTGAAAAGTGCCAGCAGTGCTCGTAGAACACGGGGAGGAAAATACCGTACCATATCACTGCGGATGAAGTCGGACCCCTCCGCTACACTACGCAGCGAGCAAATGGCCGCTTGAGGTTCCATCGAAGTGAAACGCTTGTTGAAGGTCAGGATGTCCCCTGTATACAAATTAACTTACGAAGTTTCACATCGCGCCCGGTGCCGCAAAAACCGTGGATCGCAGGTGTCATTTCGGCAACGGTCTGACAAGGCTTCCCCAATGGCTTCTGCGACATCACTTGGGTGAGTGATGTCTTGACTTCCCGCCCGCAGTACGGGAAGGGAAACTGGTGGATGCGGTCCATCGATTCCTTTAATGCGGCCCCCTACATGTGACGTCGTTGTGTGGCGATTCAGTGAGTTGACGTAGCTGCGTCATGATGCATGTTTCGCCTCTCGTATAGTGCGGCGTGCGGCCGCTCATGCTTGCCTGAAAGCCACGAGGTTTAATGTGCTGCTGTGCTGGTCAAAAGCCCTAAAAGCTCTCCGACGTGCACGAATAGCATCGCGACGCCACCTGCAGAGAGACACATCGACCCCAGAAACACCTCGCACTGCCCCTGGTCGTGTCCGATCGATATCCACACAACAACCTCAACACACACACATACGCCGCCTCTCCAACATTCATAACAGGCTAGACGCCAGCGCTGCCCCCTGCGCCTCCCCCCCCCCCCCCCCCCCCCCCGCCACGCACAAAACATCTCCGACAGTGCCGGCGAGCGAGGCCGACAGCTCGCGACGCCGGTCGAGTCTGCTGCGGCTGGCTAGCGCCGGCTCATCGCTCTCCCGCCCACGCCGGCCACCGTGCTGGTGCGCGACGGAGGACCACTATACATCGTCAAAAAGAACCGCACGGGGTGTGGTCGCGTGGTGGCGCCGCCGACATGCTGGCATGGTTCCGGACCGCCATGCCGCTCGTGTCACCATGGCAACGGCAACGTGACGGCCCACCCGACCACGCGTCATAGCAGAGTCACCCAGCGAGCAGCGCCTCAGTGTGCAGATGTGGGTGTGAGCGTCTGCACTAAGAGCACCTGTGCTGAATACTTAACTGGTATTAATGTGGCAGTCACACGACAGTGCAATGTGCTTGACAATTAAACCAACTGATATGATATCTGGCCATCATGGTGCAGCATACAATAAGCTGTCTAAGATAGTCATGGCATGACCATATTGTGCATAAAAAAGGATGCAAAACTACTGCCAGACTCAAGTACAAAAGACAAAGACATAGACAACATATGACATTGGGAATTAAAGGGAAGGCTGCTTCAAACAAACATGTCTAGCACAACATATGTGATTTAATGGGAGAGGGCCATTGGCTGTGAACATCACCACAAATAGTTCCAAATGTTGTCAGGCCCTCTGCCAGCATCTCACAGCCAATAAGTCTGAACTGCCGAAACAAGTTTGCTGTGCGGATGGTGGCAATACTCTGGCACTGTTGCCAAGTGAATGGAATTGCCTCACAAGCTGCAGTCTAGATTGCCACGTTTTCTGTTCAACTAGAATGTTTCGGTAGTTTTTTCAAAAATGAGTAATGTAAGCTGTCACACAATATATAACACCAAAATTAAGGCACAAAGTTAGAAATCAAAATATATCTTGATGGGGGACAATGGTTTTTAAAAGTGGTAAAAACAGCATCCCCATAGAATAATTCCAAGAATGCAGTTATCTTAGAGAATCATGTGAAATCAGAATCATGAATCTGGGACCAGAATCAGAATCTGGCATGACTTGTCTAGTCATACACATACAATTTCATTACAGTGCATAAGTTGAATCCATATATGTGATGCAGTACTAAACAAATGTGATCTTAAGATTATGCACTTATATTTATTTTTGGCTCCTTTTAATTGCTGCCCACATTTTATACCAAAAAATTATGTCGCTGATTTATGCGTGACTATTCACATCAGGTCCACCGACATAATGGGTTTAAACAACATAAAGTACCACTCTACAATCCCATACTCTCTCTCCACCCTCCACCAACACAAATACACTTAAAATCAAAAATGCTTCAACAAAATCTGCACTTGCAGGAAGTCACTGACATTGACGACTTGCTACAAAAAGCAAATCTGTTCATTTATCTCTGCATTTCAAAAACAAATTAGCTTTCCTAACATAGATGTCAGCATAAAGCATGCCAATACACTACTTATATATCAGAATTTCATGAACTGGCATAACTGTGCTTCACTGACATTCAGCAACAACACCTTCAGACAGCCAAACTGTGGTTGTTGTTACTGAGACTTAATGGCACACCCATCTGTTGAGGCTGTATGCCAATGCCTGCCTCTCACCCTAGCAAGCAGTGCTAGCATCACAGGGAATCAAACCATGCGCATCTGATTCCTGGATGTACAGTTTTACCACCACACTATCCTTACTAGCTGCAGAACATTTCATCAAACATTTTCCTATTCTCTGTTCAACTTCTCAAATGTTTTCAGTGTGCACACCTCCAGCAGCAGAGAGCTTAAGCCAGCATGCCACTTCACAGCTGATGTTAAAAGCTTGTTGGGACAATTAGATGACACTGTGTGAGGGATGTCAGGACGCAGGTGTCAGGGATCCATTTCATTCCCCGTGAGTCTAGGGGTCTCAGGTCTGAACCCCCACAAGAACCTGAGCAATAATCCAGGATGCAGAACTGCAATTCCAGAATGTATGTAATCCTACCAGCCATTTGCATTCACTTCCAATTTTGGCCCCACAAAATATCTGAATTTTATGCCTGGGTATATCTTGCAATATTTCAAGTAACCTATGTGCAAGTGACATGTGTGGGTACAGTAATTCATGGACCTGGTAACTCAAGGGCCTCACTGGCATCATATCTTCCATCACACAGATCTGTGCATATCACTGCCAGTAAATGGATTGCATCTTGACACCAGTTGCTTGTTGAGACAATTGTGATACTGGTTTTGGTGCACATGCATGATTTCAGAATAGGAGATTGTCTTAAGCCACTTAGACCAAATGCAGTGCTAATGTGCCATGCTATCCACCTCTTATCAATGTAACACTGGAATGTACTTCTTTTGACACCCAAAAATGTTTGTCCAGGACTGACATGAAAAGCCCTTTGGTGGCATATTCTAGTGATACCTACTCAATGACAAAACAGCTAAAAGATAATTGTCTGGCTAAAGGCATAAGATATCTCAGGTATTGGGACATGAGTTTTAACAAATTAGACCCATATAAAGCAAATGCTGTGCACCTTGTATTACCTACAAGAGGTTGCTGTAAACACATATTCCAAACCTCTCACTTGCAATATCTAAGGTTAAAATGTCTTATCATAATATTACAACTAAATGACAAGATACACTATGCATTACTTTGACCCATGCTTTAATATCAGCAAACAGAAACTGGGAGATGTATCAGCAGATATGACACAGCAGTGTCACAACCCAAACATGCATGTGTTTCAAATTAATGTAATGTGTAATAATAATTCAATGTCATCTTTTGATATACCATTACTATGCCTATCACTCACTACAATGGACATGGACAAATGCCTCCCAGACTTACAAAAAGTTATCTGATATAGGTGCACTGCACAACTAAGGTTTTCTATGTAACAAAACAACATATAGGCTTTTATTTGGCAACATAGGCATGCATGCAGACATCTTCATATATCTTTCATATAATACATTCATTTTCACCTGCCTGATGCTTATGAGGGCCAAATCATCTAATAACCTGGGATAATAAGGCAGCACCCACTGATATGCCTACACAGTACTCAGATAAGTAACAGGCACAGACCAATCAGATACTCATGATAATAGACAAAGCCAAAGCACACCACAGGTTCTAATTTGACTAAAAAGTCTTAAATATTTGTGCATACATACTTTCAAAAGGTATACCTAAAATGACAACTTCCAACAAACCACATTATCATTTAGCTTACAACATTCCTTGCTGTTGTAAATTGAATCATCAAATGTCATATAATGATTGCAGACATTCATCTACAAGTCCACAAATTTGGCTTTGTTAAAAGGACACCAGCATACTTCGAATTACAGGGTTGCAGCTTTCACTGAGATACGTAGGCTCAAAGCGTCCTCAGAGGCGCAGCAATTGTCTACAAAAATCACCCCAATATTTGACCGGATTTCAGGCAACAACAGCGCTCTCACCTTGTAGTTTTCTGGACGCTGCCATGTTTCATCACCTGCTTTTCCTTACACTTTTATACATAACATAAAACAATGAGTATCAGCTATGATGCGGTCGGTTCGACCTCTGCAGCGGCGCAAAACATGAAAGATGGCCTCCAATTTGAAGCTGAACATCTACCGAACGTATATGCATACGCGTAAGAATATAGTATCTAGTTTTATCACAATTCACCTTTAAAATATGTCTGGATGAGAAAACAGTTCACGTTTTTCAGTATGCATAAGATATAAAACCACAAATAGTAACATAACTTTCAAGAAGCTCCCTTGCGCGGAAGATTACTATATCGATGCATCAGCTGACAAACGTAAACAAAAGGCATCGGGCACTTCGCGTAGCGCCGCTCGACGCGCACAAAATGAAACATGTGGAGTTCCGGGATGTTTGCTCGTTGTAAATATAGCTAAGTGGATCCACGGCCAAATGATTTTAAAGCGGACAAAAGTGAATTACTGCGGAATTACAATTTGTATTACCTGAATAGAAGCGTCGACGCCGTGGGGACTTGGGGGACGCGTCCCCACAATTTTCAGAACGTGGGGGACCGTCCGCCACAATTTTCAGAACGTGGGGGACCGTCCGCCACAAGCCCAGAGATCCGAAGTTGCAACTGCTGGTACATGCGCTCTGGCGGAGCGGGTAAAAGCGTAGAATCTCGCGCAAAAATGGCACGATGCAGCAAAATGCGGAGATGTAAAAGCAAACAGGTAAATTTGGCTCGGGCCGACGTTGAAACGGCTTCCGTGTTGAGCATAAATTATTATCAGTATTCTGAGCTATCGTCCCAGTACTGCAGTTCAACAAACTCGTTTTGCTTCGGGACTTTTCAGGTAGCACCACAGGGCCTTTATCGTGCCGTAAAACTCCACGATTTCCGGCTGCCCTGTAACCAGTCTAACTCAACCAAGGCAACATCCAAATGCTCTTAATGATCAGCCAAACGCAAACACAAACATTGGAAGGCCAGCCCACCACCTCGCATTAAGCCACATCACGCGTGTGGTCAGCAATACCTTCAGCACTGCAACGGAGTTGGGCTTCGGCAACGACAGTATGTGTATCTGTGTATATATATATATATATATATATATATATATATATATATATATATACAGAACTTTGTAAGCTTTTTACCGCGTTGCAATCAACGGCTTGATGTTATGTATTAAGATATTGCTTAAGCTTAAGCTTGATATTATACATTAAGGCAACACGGCATAACGCCACTTTATTAACCATCTGCTCAGGAGTTATTGCTTACATCTGAAATATAATATACCTGTCTGCCTACGCAGATCTGGAATGCCTTTAGGCTGTGAATGTTCCATGCATTCAAAAAACTGGAGCCGTTCGCAAGCCGCTTGCGAAAATTGGGTTCAACCGTTATCCATTTCAGCTCCCATCGCCCCAGGCGGGTGCTGGTTTATTCGTATTTTTGAGCGTTCAGAGTGAACGGAAAACATGAATGGTTAAGGCCAACACTAAGGGCGCTATTATCGAGAGTATAATTTTACATTCATTTCGTTGGAGTGTGTAACCAAACCGCAGAAAGGGTGCCGTATAGATCTGATTTAGGTGTTCGGTGTAGTTAAGACATTGTAGCTGCGGAACTGTAAATTGCGGACAAATACCGAAGTGGACTGGACGTCACCATGCATTCCAGGACAGACTAACCGGCGTATCACACTATCAGGATGTGGACTAACTTGGCAAAGCAAGAAGTCTAGAGCGTTCAGTACGCCTGTGGTGTTATTAGGTATTTTATTAAAGCGGTTTCTGGTTTAAAACCCCCGCCAAGTTCGTGTTGTGTTGCTGTAAAGATCTTCTGACGGTCAGTGATCTACTTTGAGGAAAAGAAACCAGGCAAATGTTGTCAATATATGTGTGGTAGCCGCCACATTATAACAAATAACAAAGTCATAGAATATAATTTAACTATGCAAAGATGTTGGTAAATGGTTCCAAGGGCCCAGGGATCTTGATATTTACGCTGTTGCGTGTGAAAGATCATGTATTGAGCTACTTAAGAAGAAAAAAAGCAAGAAAAATGTGCCCGTCATGGGTTACTTCTCAACGTATAGCACGATCACCAAATCATCAAATGGTCATAACGTGCATGTACTTTTGCAAGCTATTTCGGCGAGGCTATTTCAAGGTCGCCCAGGCGTCCATGACGTCATAATAACTTTATTCAAATCCCGTCATTACTTGCCCACGCAGCGATCAGGACTGATGAAGATATAACTGTCGAGTCGTTCATATCCGGCGTCCGTAAACACGACTCCCAGACATAACGACCGTCAACTGGCTCTCGATCAGTGTTGTGCAGGGCGCAATGACGCAGTCAAACAATGACGCATTTAGGAACATATTTACAAAATAGAGAAATGATCTGGCCTAGATAAGTCTTTTCCACTTAAAAGCATACCAACAGTTTTAAGTTCGATTTTTCCATGACACCTGATACCTGCTCCAGTATCTTCAAAAGTGGAACATTTGCTTTAACTCCTCTAGCGCATGGGAGCCCGAGTCACAGGTCGCTCACCACGCAGCCGACACGCCGCGGACCAATCACTGCCCGGGTCACAACGCCCCGGGCACCGCGACCTCCGACCGCCGAGCGGGCAGGACACACAGGACAGACACGCCGCGCAGCCGGGGACGGGGTGGCCAACACAAGCAGCACTGCTGCAGTTTTGCATCCTACGACAAGGACAAAGTGACGTTAGATTACGAACATTAAGCACGCGGGTTTACATAGCGAGTTGCCCTGAGCAGTAAAGCAAAAAATAGGCAACCATGTCACCCAGCATTTCATATAGGTGTGGCCAATCCCACACTAGCGTCTCTTAGGCAGAAAACGGTTCCAAGCGCATCGTCAATGCAAATACCAAACGCCCGTCAGACAAGCCCGCATCAGCACCCAACGCTCGCCAGCCAGGCTTCTCTTGGCGCCCCGACATACAAGAGCGCGCTGCGACCCGTCAGGCTGGTGCACCCGCGCTCTCTGGTCGGGGTATGAGTCATCACCTGGAAGTACATGGGACGGATCAGGTTTGAACGGCTCCATCGGGCGAGCCGAACGGCGCACGTCAATTGGTCTGATACCGCACTCACAAAACCTGAAATGAAAGCCCTGCGTAGCTCGCAGCCAGACCCGACAAACAAAGCAACAAGATCACCGCGACGTCACAGGCTCCACGACAGACATGTGGCTGAAGTTCAGTTACTAGCAGCCCAGGCCAGCCACAGCCAACACCGACATGGTACGCCCTTTGTCCTAACTACTTAATCTAAAACTACGCTATAATGACCCGCCATGACAGGAGAGGTAACTTTTTATAAATTTGATCCGATCCCTTTGAATGGATGGATTTCTGGGATCAGCGCTCACGGTAAGAAGTGCTTATGTGAGCCCTGACCCTCACCATCCGATCGCGCAATTCCGGGCAACGGCAGAATTTAGTGGCGAAAGCTTAACGTTCCGTAATGCTCGGCACGGTCCGTCCTGCCCTCTGACGTCAACTGACCTTTAGCGCGGCCGTTGCCTCCGGTCGCAGGCCATACCTGACAAGGGCGGATAGCGAGCGCCCTAAAGCGACTCGAATCCCCCCTGCCACGGGTGGGTGGATTGGAAGGTAGGCGCTCTAGCCAACTGAGCTACCGGGACGAACTGACGGGATGGACGAACTGACCGACAACAGCGTCAAACAGAATATAAACCAGTTAAGGGGACGTCTGAGCCGAGTAGAACACCGGAGAATGGCCCGATCCCCTGAACCATCCTGAGAAGACAGTCTACGGCCACCCGAATCGTCCGAGACCACTGAAGCGTCAGGTGCGGCAGCACATTCGCCCGGAGCAGCTCGCCTCGGACCGGCGTCAGTGACGGCCAGGCCAGTTAGGGCGTCCGGTTCCCGCGGAGCCGAGACGGGAGCCGCCACCGGGGCCTCCTCAGTCAGCGGCTGCCGCGCCAGTTAGGACGTCCGGCTCCTGCGGAGCCGAGATGGGAGCCGCCACAGGAGCCTCCTCAGTCAGTGGCTGCCGCACCAGTTAGGACGTCCGGCTCCCGCGGAGCCGAGATGGGAACCGCCACCGGAGCCTCCTCAGTCAGCGGCTGCCGCGCCAGTTAGGACGGCCGGCTCCCGCGGAGCCGAGACGGGAGCCGCCACCAGAGCCTCCTCACCAGGAGGCCGAGCGGCAGTGAGATAGCGTGCAGCCCGACCAATCCACCGATCCACGCCGTCTACAGCGTGACGATTCAAGCTTGACTCTGTCCTCCCCAGACGGAGAGCCGCCCCTGCTCTTCTCCTCATCCACACTGCTGTACGACGCCAGACGCGACCCTTGAACTGGACAGTGTAGCGACTTCAGCCTGTAATGGGGAACCCGCAATGTTTTGCCACTGTCTTCAAAGTGTACACACGGCTCCAATCCCCGTGGACAAACTCAACAATGTCCAGGTTCCCGCGACGGACGCATTTTTCTATTCGCTAAAACGCTATTGAAAAGTGGCACTTTGTCCCTAGTTTGTTAGGAAAAGTGTTAGGTTTTCGCTCCTATATGCGCTTGCTCATCCCGTTGCTTGTGTCGGACACACAAATAGAAGTGCACTCCCAGTAAGTGCTACGCAGATCCTCACAGAGTTTGTCCATATAAGCTGCGACGGAGGTGGATTTTTTTAGCGCACGAGTTGCACCGATCTCCACATCAACCTGCAAGCGACGCTCTAGACCCAGCATTAAGAAGAACGGACTGTAGCTCAGAGATCTGTGCACTCGTTATCTGTATCCAAGCATAATCAGGTCTCACCGCGGAGGTTTCCATTGAAATGCTCTGATAACATGCTCAACACAGCTCTCCTTATCAGCGCACACTGGGTATTTCGCTGCGGAAGAAAACTAGTCGTGCCCGTTTTGCGGACACGCAGAAGCCCACATACCTTGGCAGTCAGTTCACCCTTCAAATTTGCTGCACAGAGTGCAAGGGCTTTTTCGGTGCTCGAACAGAGAAAACAGCTCATGAGTTAGGACGTACGCCACCGTACCAGCAGACATGTCTGGAAGAGGAAATACCTGCACCCACAGA